TGGACAAAAATCGTGCACCTATGGATGAGGACAGTGGGTGGGGAGTGAGGGCGGAGGGTGGGGCGGGAACTGAGTGAGGGGAGTCATGGGGGGAAAAAAAAAGAGGAACAAACGTAATCTGAACAATAAAGATTTAATTAAAAAAAAAAAGAAAAGGGAACATGAGTTCAATGGAGATTCTCCAATTTACAATCTAGTACTGTGCTCACATGAGAAAATAGGACACTGTAGAATATCAGAATATTCTAGAAAATTATTTCCCAAAATAGTAGTTTCTGACAGCACCTTTACTATACTAGAGACAACATTTAAATTATTTGATCCTGAGTTCCACTACCAAATACATCAGGAAGCCTTTCTGTTCTGCACCAGTAAAACCGTAAAGCCTTTCTGTTCTGCACCCCAATTTCATTCCTTAAGAACACGGGTCTGTCTGAAATTCTATCATAAAAAGCAGAGGCTCTAAGCAGACACTGTACTAATGAAGAAAACAAAACCCTATGGGTGGAGTACAAAATCTTGAAAGTGGTCCTCACCCAGGAATACCAGGTTCCTGTAGTTCTGCAACATCACGTCCCTGTACAGTTTCCGCTGAGCTGGGTCCAGGCACGCCCACTCCTCCTGAGAGAATTCTATGGCCACATGACTGAAGGTCAACTGTCCCTGAAATTAAAAGGGGGGAAAAAGCATTATTCTATTGACAATGGGCAGAGGTCATAAGGTCACCCAAAATGAAAACAGAGTTAAAGGAATTGGTTTGGGGTATGTGTGTGTGTGTGTGTGTGTGTGTGTGTGTGTGTGTGTGTGTTTCTTTAATAGAGCTGGTTTTGATCTAGGAAAGTATCCTGAGTTATCCAATGGCATCACTTTGACACTAATATTCTCTAATGTGTTTTGAGAAAGGATGGCATATGATCCACAAAACCACTGTAGAAGCTTTACTTTTCTGGAAGAGGAATTTTAAAAATAAAGACCCCAACACAGGCATATCCATTTTTAGTGCTTTGTTTGAATCACAGAGGATCAAGTGTATATATTTCTTAGCTGGATTAGTCATTCTGAGTGAGCACAGTGTAGCACTTTTAAAAATTTTAATGAGTTCTGGATGGGGTGTGAGCTTCCACATGTTTAACCAGCTCACTTATAACTATAGATGCCAATGTGCTGGTCCATGTGCCAAACCTTTAGACAGCACAGAAGAAAACACAGGAAAAAAATTCATATACAAGACTTTGACTGAACAGTTTTAAGGAATTTACAGGTCTCACAGATTAGTAAGCCTAGCAACCACAACTGTTTTTAACAGTTTTTTATATATTAACTGATAAATTTCAAAAGTAATCAAAGAATAACATTATTGTTCCCTTTTTTTAAATGTATTTGTTGACTTTAGAAAGAGAGAAAGGGGGAAGGAGAGAGACAAACAGAAACGTTGGTGAGAGAGAAACATCAATAAGCTAACTCCTGCACGCCCCCTACCAAGTATTGAGCCCTCAACCCGGCATGTGCCATAACTGGGAATTGAATCAGTGACCTCTCAGTGCATGGGTCAACGTCCAACCAACTGAGCCAGGGCTATTCATCCTTTTTTATGAGAATATTTTACAAAACATCCAGAAAATGGTAGAGCCTAGGTGCTATTCCAAACTTTATCTGGAATCTATCAAAAAGAATACAGACCAATACATAGACACAACCCTCATGAATGTTCACAGCTGTTGTAATTGTAAAGAACAAAAACAATGCCCTGGCTGGTTTGGCTCAGTGGATAGAGTGTCGGCCTGTGGACTAAAGAGTCCCAGGTTCGATTCTGGTCAAGGGCACACACCCAAGTTGCAGGCTTGATCCCCAGTAAGGAGCGTGCAGGAGGAGGCAGCCGAATGATTCGCTCTCATCATTGGTGTTTCTATCTCTCTCTCCCTCTCCCTTCCTCTCTGAATCCAATAAAAATGAATATTTTTTAAAAAGAATAGAAACAAGAATGTAAGAAGAAAAAGCTCAAATAATAACATTTTTTTGCAAAAAGGCAAACATAGAAATGGAAACTCTCTACACAAAAAGTACGACATAAAATAATATTTTCATGTCAATAAAATTACCTTAAATAAAATAAACATTAATGTCAATGTGTTAATCTCACAAATCTCTTTGTGAATGATCATCTTGGTACTTTAGAAACACAAAAGGGAGGTAAACACACCATAATATAAAATATTAGTGCTATTGGTTCTTAGCCTATTGTTTGATGTGTTATCTTTGGTGCTGATCTGTATTTTCTAAATTTAACGCACTTGAATATCCATTACTATGATGCTTGTAAACATTTTTGAAAATACAAAGTAGTGATAAAGAAGAGTGTGTCTGTGACATGTCGGTGGAATAGAACAAAAATGTACAGGTCTGAGGCCTGCCTGATAAAACCCTCCACTTGCAAATCTAGGATCTCCAGTGAACAACAACAAGAAGCCTTCATTTCTCAAAGCAACCTGAACATAAAGAGAGACTGAAAAGCAATGGAAGTTTCCAAATGAAATGTGATCGTTTATGCACATCTCACAAAATTTTTTGAAACCCTTATTAAAGATTTTTTAAAATTAACTCTATGGTTCAGGAACTGGGCAGAGAACATCCACACCAAGTGAAAATCAGGTGCAAAGGAAATGACATCAGGTAACTGAAGGACACAGAAGAACACATCATCACTAACACCAGTTTTATACAAAATTCACTCCACATATACCTCCACATTCTGTAAATCTCACAGTACATTTAAAGAGTAAGGCTTCCGTGCCAATGTAGAGAGCAAGTCTCTGCTAACGAGTTTTCTTTTTCAGCACATTCTGATCTAATCCCAGCCATTAAGGCCATCCTGGTTAAAGGTGCTTTGTCTCCATCCTGTTCTGCAGAGCAGATGCTGCAGCCATACGAAATCTAAAACCTACATTTCCCTTCTGCAAACACCATCTCATTAGCGATCTTGGCTATCAATGCCTTCCCATGTTGATCTGTCACAAAGAAAATGTCCTGAAGAGTTGAAGGTGGGGTTTCAGAACAAGGCACCCTAAGATGTGCTTCAACGTTACATGCATTATGTTGAACTGAAGGCACCAAGGCCTAGAGAACCTTCTGCTCTCCTCCTGAACTACCTAGAATTTAAATGATGAGCTTGGCCCATGATCTGTGTTAAACCAAAAATGACATTTGAACTACCTAGGTCAAGATGTCAAACTTGCGGGCCACGGGATACATGCGGCCCACAACAAATACTCATTAACGATTACTCATTTATTGAGAAACCAAGATGGCGGCATAGGTAAACACCGGAGATTGCTGCCTCGAACAACCACTTCAAAAATACAACTAAAAGACGGAACGGACATCATCCAGAACCACAGAAAGGCTGGCCGAGTGGATATTCTACAACTAGAAGGAAAGAGAAAAGCATACCGAGACTCAGAGGAGGAGCAGTACGGAAGTAAAATACTAAGGTGCGGAGGTGCATGCGGAGCGGGCTGGCGGCTGAGGGCGCGGTTGTCTTTTTCAATCGGGAGGGAGTCTCAGGCTCTGAGCTCCAGTTCCGGGCGAGTCTCTAGGGACCCAGACTCATACTGGAGAAGCGGGACTGTCTGACATCAGTCGGAACTCGAGGGCAGCTTTCTCTCCGAGGGGCTTGCAGCGATTACCGGGACACTGAGAAGCAGAACCTCTGAGGGCAAGACTGAGAACAGCCATAACTGCTAGCCCTGCCTTGTTGATCCCGTGGGACCCGCCCCACCCAAGCCCTGCAGGGAGGCTTTTGCTGAATAGCCTCAGGCAAAGGCTAGATTAGCATCTCCCGGAGCCAGGAAACCCAGAGGTCAGAGTGGGACCATCCAGTTTTCAGCTCCTTGGAACCATAAAGGACACACTCAGGGGGCAGACTCACTGAGCACCAAAGCCCCATTGAAGCAAGTCTTGCTCGAGAGGGGTGTCGCCAGCACAGAAGTTCTCCCACTGCAAACACAGCTGAT